GCGGTGCCGAGGGCTCTTCCTCTCGCTTCTCCCTGCTGCGATCGTGGTTGCTGGCGTTACGGTGGGTGAAAGGTGTGTGGAAACTTTTCGGTACTGCTGTGGGGCGTGCAAATGGCGGGTAACGTTCGGCCCAGGGCAGCGATGGTGACAAAGCCATGCGGCAGTGTCCCACAAGAAGGGCAAAGTAGTGCGAAGCCTTGAAGTGAAAGAGTGATACTTGTAGAGGGAAGATCTTCCTTTTGAATTCTTCTAAGCATAAGGCCTGATGCTTTGTTTTTTTTTGCAAGCTGCTAAGCTTACGGTGTGGCTTAGAGCCTTTTCTACCCTTTCTTGTGCTGCGTGACAGTGTTGGAGGCTGTGTGTGTGCTGCCACCACGCCTAGCTGTGTGCACCACTCAGGATCCCCTTCTCTTAGGGCGTCTGCAGCTCTAAAATCTGTTGTCACGACAGGTAGAGTTACAATAACATATCCTAGTGTACAAGTACCTTTTAGTGGCTAGAGCCAGGCAATACACCTGTTTGCCCCAGAATATCGGAGGTAATTGCAGTGCTGTGTGACACAATGTGTAGACAGATGGACAGTCTGTGTCTTGGGTTTTGCATGCTGTCAGTGGTTGAACCTTACCGATCCGAGTGCTGGGCTCGTGTTGTTGCTGAAAATCGCAACCGAGAAAACTCTAAACCAAATGATAGCTTAGAAAGCCAACGTTGGCTTATTGCAGTGCGGGTGCATGGGGGATCGTTCCTCCTAGCGTGCACACTGAGTAAAGTGAAGATACGTATTATATACAATAAAACATTTGCATATTCATAGTACACTACATATTCGTTGTTATTCCCACTCAGGATTGGTTCTAAGTTTCTCACTTCTGATGTAAATTAGTACGCATCCCCAGTAAGCACTAATGAAGCCTCTATATTAACTACGCACGCTCCCCAAGCGGGGTTTTTGCCTCTTGGGGGGGGCCATTTGAGTTGGAGGTCGTGATCTGCCACTACCACAGTTACCTCGGTCCTGCTGTCAGCCAATTTATTGTTGATGTCTGTGGGTTGTAACGTTTGATCAGCTTGGCTCCCTTCCTGTCTAGAACTCCCTCTCTTGGAGGCCTCTCTCCACATTCTTGCCTGCTGACTTAGATGACAGTGTCCCTTCTTCTATCATTTGTTCTTTTTCTTGGTGCTTCCCAACCTTGAGGTGCCAGGCTAAAGAATGTGCCTGCTTTTCTGTTCATTTAGCTGAATTATTTAACCTTTTGGTATCAATAGGAACAATTTCAGTTCCAGCTTTGCATACATAGCTGAATGGTTGTCTCTTGCTTAGTTGAAGTGTAGCTTTATCTCATTTGCAGCTTGATGACGTTTGCTTAGCTTTGTGAAGTTCTGTATCTGCCTTTTACAGGCTAGATAGGAAAACTGAGCTGTTAATTGTTTTGACACTGAAGCGCAGACCTGTTTCAGGTTTTGTGCCGGGCGGGAACAAAAATGTTGTGGCTGCTTAATAGGCAACAGTATTCGTGAGCAAAGGGGCTTTGAACCAGCCCTGGTCTGTCTGTTGTTTTAATGAACACTGTGTGTTCTCCATTAGTATTTAGAGAGACAATATGTATGTGTTGCTGTGGCATAGACACAGGAGTGTAGTACTAGAAGACCATTGAATCGCTGTGTGCAAAGCTCCAAAACCATAGGAGGCCATGTGGTAGGTGTCTAATTGCTAGAATGCTTGCTGCCATAGTCTATGAGCAATAGCCATTCCAGCATTTCCATATGAGCAAACAGCCATTCCAGCCGTCCCCCAAAAGCCCTTCCTTTGTTTAGTTGAGTAACTGAGACATCTACAATGTCTTCCTTGTTCTTGGGGCTTTTAACTCTTTCACTTGCAATGAGCTTTTATTCTAAATGGACACTATGTGAGAGAAGATAGTGATTTGTGTCGGTGCAATTGAAACTTTACTGTCACAGTTGATGAACGCCGCTAGGAAAACAGATGAACCGTGACCTTCTGAGATATAGGGAGGTATCCTATTAAAACTAAGGGTCTGATGTAATAGTGAGATAACAAAAAATATGTCTGAAAGGGGAACAAGGGCTGGTACCAATTTGTTTTGAGAAACAGCAGAACTCTGAAACAAGAAGAGAGCATGCGCCAACAGATGAAGGTGAAAAGTACAAGCTGAAGAAGACTCAAGGTGAAAAGTGCAAGCTGAGGAAGACTCGTTTACTTCTTCTGAAGACCCCTGAACCCGACCACTAGAGGACACTGCACACACATAAAAGAACTCTTAAACTCATTTTAATACGAAGCAGGTATAGGTCATGACTATGTATAGGCATATTAATCAATCAACTAAATATTAACGAATGTAAGCAATAAAACACGGGGAAAAACGCTTGATGGTGTGCAATTAGGAGGAGTACGGACTCCCCATGCACCCAGCGCTGCTTGCTTATCTCTCATCACCATATTAATAAAACTTTTATCACCAATATATCAGATGGTGTATAAGTATTTATAGCAACTAGAATGGGACGATGGAGAAGTGGATGTGGAACGATATGATTATTTTTATTATATCTTCCTTGTCCAACATGGTTTTTAGCAAGGTTGTGGTATATGTGTAAGGCTTTTTGCTGGTAAACAGTTGCTTTTCCTTGAAAGAAGGATAGCTGTTCTTGATTTATCATGATGCGAACCCCTCTGCACACCCTATCCCCAGCTATTGGAAACTTGCTATGTAAATTATGAATAGGATGAAGAAAGCTTTCTCCTTCAAGAAATTGCAGCTATTGGTCTCAAATTGCCTTGTCTTTTAAGGGACTTCAGAAGCTCTACATTATGTAATCAGAGATCAAGATATACTTTTATTTTGTCTTGCAGGATGGACCCAACTTTGGATAATGCCAAATTTTTCAGACCATCCTACATTGCTAGTGCTGAGCCACTGCAAAGAACAGGACCAGTAGGTGTGGAAGATAGCAAAGCAGATCTCTCTGCTGCATTTTCTTTTGTTTCTTCAAGCTCAGATGCAAGCCAGGTGAGAAAGCTTTAATGTTTGCATTGTTTGGATAGCATTGGTTTTGTTTTTTTTTTTTTTTAAATAAGCTTAGTCATTTCATGGATAAGAATAATCAGAATCTTACAGAGAAGACGAAAAGCGTTTTTAATTTGAAGGAGATACTGATTCCAAGAAATTAAACATCAAATTTAGCAGTGATTCAGTATTCTTTATTAGCAGCGCTGGATGCATGGGGGATCCTTCCACCTAGCGTGCATACCGTGCTTGTGTTAGTTACAGGCTTATATTTTTAGTTTTTATATATATTCATAAGACTTGCAAGAGATGATTAACATATTAACAATTTTCCCGGAACTCATTATCATAGGCAACTCCCATTTCCGTATGTCCATTTTAGTCCTTTTGGGGGTCTTCAGAGACATCTGGTGGTCTTTTACTTCTTCCACTCTTCTTCATCACCGTGTCCTTTTGGTGAACTTTTAGCTCTCATCTTCCTTTTTCTTGATTGACAGCAGTCTCAGGTCCTGTTCTCCTAACAAGGTCCTTGGTAATGATTTAAGAGTTCCTGCCTTGAAGTGCAGTCCCTGATAATGAGCGCAACGTCCTTGATTTAAGGGTCTTGTTATCACTTTTATGCCAGATGTGGTCATGCACTGGTACCAAGTTACACACTACTACATACCATTGTAACAGGCTTGTGTTTCTAAGATTAACTCTCTAGTTCCCTTATTATCAATACAGAGGATTAGATTAAGTTGTGTGGCAATGCATTGATACCTTATTGGGTGCATCAGTCTTCTGTGAGTGAGGCTAATTGCCGATTCAGAGCAGCTGAATCATAGAATGTTTTTGTGGGTTTCATTCTTGATATCTAGTTGGCTTGAAGGTAGTGTATATATTACTGTTATGTGCTGTGAGATTATTAACTCTTAAGTTATCACAGTGAATTTCTGCAGGGGCCTGAGCACTTGTAAAAACTGATGTAGTGAATTACTTTTGCTTCCCATGTCATCAAGTCTGTTCAAAATAGCTTGATGAAAGTAAAACTGCCTTAACGTGCTAGTTATCAAACAAAAACTCTAGTCAAACTTCTAACTTCCTTAATTTTTAATTTTTTTTTTAAGAGGAGCAGTTTGGAGCCGAAGTATGTTTTTGTAAGCCTAAGTATGTTATTGCCTGTGTATTAGGCCAGTTACATCATTGGAAAGAGAAAATGAATTGCAGGTGTGACATTTATTTAGTTTAAAGATACTTTAAGTGTATGGCCTTTTTTTTTCTTCCTAGTAACCTGAGCTCTTTGTTCTCTTTGCATGCATGCATTGCTTGTGCTTCCTTTTAATAGGACTGCATTTCACTTGACTCAACAAGCATCATACTGAAGCCTCCCAAAAACTCTCCGAGTCGACTGAGTGAAAAAGCTGCTGCACAGATGATACAGAAGTTCACTTTTTCACGAGTAAATGAGTTGTCTTTAAAAACTGTTAATTTATTCCTGGAAAAAGTTGTTTGATTTATTATTTAGTACCAAGCCAACTAAATTTTTAAAGTGCCAATAGTCTTTAAATTCTATATGTTTATAATCTTAGAAGACTCTTTAAAAGTCTCAAATGATTGCTTAAAGAAAATAAAGATGTTTCTGGGTAATGCTCAGGTGTTCAGACCTGAAACAACTCAAGAAGAGTTCTTTGAAGGTACCATGAAGCAACTGGTACAAGATTTCTTAGATGGATATAATCGTCTTATTTTTACCCACGGCGTTACAAATGGTGGGAGAACCTACACGTTCCAAGGTAGGAGCAAAAATGTGTTATCCTTGAATGAATTTCCTTTTTTTTTTTTTAAAGTACAGATTACTTCAAGCAGAAGTGCTTGAACTTTTTCCTTTATTTAAGCTGTAGGCCCTATACTTTGGCTTCTCTTGAATATTAATAAGTAGCCTTTGAAAGTCTCCTTCCATAACAAATCTTGCTAAACTGCCAACAGACAGAGTCACTGCCAGCATTTACCTAAATGTATAGGGAGCCTGCTTTGTAAGGCTGTAATAATTTCAACCAGGTGTTTGTGACTTCTTTTTTTTTTTCCTCCGAGTATCTAGAACGTCAGGGAGGAGGGGGAGTTAGCAGAATACATCTTCTATGTATCAGGATGTGAAAAGTATGTAAGTTGCTCTATACCAGACTAGTGTATTTTTTTAATTATTATTCTAAAGGTCGTATGCATCTTATGCACTATCTTCAAAGAAGGAATAGTATTTGAGTCTGTTTCAATTCTTATAGGCAGAGAATAAATGTTTTGAAACATGTTTGATTATTTCCAAGTATTTCTGTCTTGTCTCAAGTTTTTGAGCTTACCACTAATATCCTGGGAGACCTTGTCTCCTGGTGCACTATTTGTGTACTATTAAAGCTTGATATCCTTTCTGGTCAGAAGATGTCATTCTCTGTTTTTTAAAGCATTTTAATGAACAAGGTGATTTGATTCACATGGAAACAATTTTTACTATAATGAAATGGAAGTTCTAGATGCTATACTGCTTATTTTATACTCACAAGTAGTAGAAGGACAATGAGTTTTGTGCCGTATGAAGTTGATCTTTATTGAAGTGACACTGACTAAATGATCTGCTGTTAGGTGGATTATAACTAAAGACTACTGCCAGTACTTTCCCTTATTAATCGGGGGCAATAATTGGATGCTCTTTCCTGTTCTGATAAGTAATAGGTAAATAACAAAAAATAAAATTCCTAAAGTGTACCGTCCCCCGTGCTTGACTCGTTTAGGGTGTATTGTGTGGTGTGGCTTTTCAAGAATTTTTTGATTTGTGTCTTTTCAGACTCTGCAGACTTTTTCCTGGTATTATATTTTTAGGAGCTAACTATCAACTTGTGCTAAGAATGGGCAGGGCGGAAGGTGTGATTTCCTCTTCTGTTATTTCCAGTATCATCAATCTAGCCTTCTCACCTTGACGTTGTGTGGGAGCCTGTATTCAGTCAATAGGGAAGGACTGAAGTGAAGGATGAAGCAGTTATTTTGGATGGTTCATTGTTTGCCAGTTTGACTGTTACTTTGTTCATGTTAAGTTGAATTCCAAGTGGCATTACAATAAACAAGAAAATGATTAGGGAGGACATGAGGAGAAACAAATGTAATGCAACAGTACTTGAAATGAATATGTTACTTGGTTACCAGGTTGGCTGGTGTTTGGGTGCCAGATTTTCCATAGGTTCTGACTTAAGTGGCACAGCTAGTGCTGTAACTGGTAAAAGCTGCTCTGCCTCGGGAGTAGGAGACATTATCAGAGGTTGGAAGCTGATACTGTCAGTGTTGGAGAGAGGACAGTAGTTTCTCTTCCACTTTCCCCTCTCTCCTCTTCTCTCTGGTTTAGAAATCAAAGTGGAGTGAACCATTTTTAAACTTGTGTCTGGATTCAGAAAGATCAAGCATCCACTAAAGCTTTTATTTGACTCGTTTTTGCCTTTCAGGTGCAAAATTAGTATGCTCTGAGAAAAGGGTCTGGGACAGGGAAAGGAATGAGTCTTGACAAGGCTTCTGAACTCTTTTTTGTAGGGTCTGTGGAATTAGTACAGGACTGCAGCTGACAGATCAGTCATTAGTTGTATTTCAAGATTACTTCCTTGTGAGGAAGAGTGAAATGTGGTTGAAAAACTGCAAATATTTATTCAATGTCTGTTGGTTTGCTTGTTTGTTTTTCCTTTAAGTCTCAACTTTTGCAGAATCCCCCAGCATTCTTTGTTTTATGTTATGCCCCTTGCTGTCTAAGGGGTAGAGCATAAACTGTTGCTGAAAGCCAAATGCCTTTCAAAACACTCTAATGACACTTTTGTTACCTTGAGAATACAAAAAAACCCCATGGCTTGATGCAGTAAGTGGCTGCAAATTCCTCAGGTATGCCTTGAGATTAGAAGTTGCTTATCTTTCTGTCTTCACTTATCTGTATAGCTTGTTCACAGTAATAATCAGGATCTTTCTTTGGTATGTTGCTTTCAGGGACAGAAGATGACATTGGTATTCTGCCAAGGACTATGGATATGTTGTTTAAAAGTATTCAAGGGAAGCTATACACAGCAATGGATCTCAAACTCTATCGGTGTAGAGATTATATCAAGCTGACTAAAGACCAAGGGAGAGAAGAAACTGCTATTAAAAATTCAATACTTGGCCTAACAAAAGAGGTAGGGGAGCACTTCTTTCTGTACTGATGAGTACACGCATCTTTACATAGCTCAGTGTTATCCTCTTCACTCTTCAATGGGAAGAAACTAGATGTTTAAGCGTGGATGTGTCCATTTGTTGTCGGTCAGCTGTTCAGATTAGCGGTAAAGTAAGCAATAGAGGTGATAAACCCTGTTCTCCTGTGGATTTCTGTCTAGAGGCTGCACACTTGATAGGGTGTAAATGCTGAGGGGTTTTTTTATAGCTTGGGCACCTGATAATTTATCCTCTGGGTTTCCTGGTGCTTAATAAGGACTGAATGCAAATAATCTCCCCATCTATGGGGATGCTAGTAGGTCTGCTCCTTCAAACAATTTACTATCTTTTGGGATACTTGAAAGAAATTAATGCTTTTGAGGTTGTTCCCCTCCTGCAGTTTGGCAAATATCCTTAAAGGAAGCAAAATGTTTTTTTGAAACAGCAGAGCTATAAAGCCAGTGGACTTGTAAAGATTTGAATTAAAATGGGTTTCTCCCAGACTTAATTCTTAAACAGATCACTGCTGAGCAGGCCAGAAATACACTTTAGTTTTGTGCGTTGTCTGGATTTCTAAAGCTCTCTAGTCTGATTACAGTTATGGGGGATTTGTATTTTGTATAAGCATAGCTTTGTCTTGCTGTTTTTAATTCTGAAGTGAGTGGCATAATGTAGAAAAACCTGAGCATGTGCTACGAAGTGGAACTAGAAGGGGATTACTGTGGGGTTTTTTTATTTTTAATGAAAAGAATTAGGCACCTGCCTAGTGGTATGCTAGGTTATAATGAGGTGTTCTGGCTGTTGTGGGATGGAATATAGCTGTTACCCTGATTTTTATCCATGACTTAGTTAACTGGCCTTCTCCAGCATGGAAGGCAGGTGGCAGCAGAATTCTTCAAGACTTTACTTCAGAGGACTTCAAAAGCACAAACATATGTTAGATCTAGCTCTAGCAATCTTCAAGGACTTCAGAAAAAACCTGTCATGTATGTGTGTTTGAATACACATATAAGTCCCCTGTAGTTTCTGAATCTGTGGTTGTAAGAACAATACTTCAGCTTATAAATTTGATGGCAAAGCTTGCATCTACTTCAACAGAGACAGGTTTAGGGGGGGTGTTTTGTTTGTGTAAAGCTTAAACCTAAAAGTTTTGCTTACCTAAATAGTTAACTATGTCGGGAATCACTTTATGGAATCCTAGCTTTATATGAAATATACTATTGACAAAACACTAAAAACACCTGACCCAAACCACACCTGTTTTTCTTAATCCGTGTTTCTTAAGCATACTGATTTTGGTAGATGAGTTGTACTTTGCAGTTCTGTGCCAAAAAAAAAAAAAAAACAACCAATCAATACGGAGCCTGGGAACAGAGTGTGTGTGTATGAACCTCGTAAGCTCTAGCTATTGGGATTTGTTTTACCTTTACTCTCTTTTTTTTTTTTGAAAGAGCTCAGCAGAAGATTTTCCTTCTCTTTCTAAAACCTAGACTTTTTCAACGGTGAAAGGTTTCAACAGCCTGTATCATGAAGCAATAAGTTGCTCAATTTCTGAAGTGAATGAGTGTTCTACACTTGCATCTGTTTCTGAGGGCTGACCTAGTAAGCTGTGAGGTATGGTATCCTGAATTAGCCAAATACCAAGGCAAAAAAAAAAGTCAGGACTCCCTAGTTAAACTGCAACTGGACTCCTGCAAATCATCCTGTTAAATCGCCCTGTTTCTGTGTGGGCTGCCAGCCCTCTGTTTTTCTTCTGGTTCAGCAAGCTGAAATGCTGTATAGTGTGATAGGGCCTGATGCGAGGGAAGTGTCAGGAATGAGTATTAAGGTAAGAACACCCCTTTCAATAGGAGCATACAGGTGCATTGACCTAGGCACGATGTGTAGCCCGGATCTTTGTATTGCCATATTGCTACTACACTGTATTCGTATCTAGTAGGACAATCAAGTTGTTACAGAAGTAACTGGTGGTGTACTGGTGATGTACTGTCAACAATGCATCTTAAAGTCTTTGTCTTTTGTAGGTAGACCGTCGAAATAACACTAACAAGAAAGAGCCAGTTGATGCTAAGGGTATGTTTTCTACTAAAGAATTGTAATTAAAGCTTGCAAAGAAGATTTCTCAAGGTCAATAACTGATTTCTGGCCCATGTTAATAATATAATGACTACTTGGTACTTTTATATGCCTGTGAATTGCAGAGTGAGCAAGTGATCTGAGCAGAAAAGACAAGGATAAAATGGTTAGAAGAATACTTGAACAGGCATTAAATGAGATAAAAGTGTAGCAAGGAGAAGAGGTACTACTTATGCTACAGGTCCTAGTGTTATCTTGACAGGTTTTTGGAGTACCTGTATGTAATTAGATAAACCGAATACCCAATTCTAGCATTTTAAAACTACCTAAATAATAGGTTTGCTTTAAAAAGTCAGAATGAGGTGTACTTGTCAGTTTAATTGTCTGTCCTCTAAAGATATTGAAGAGACTCGAAGGATTCTAACCAAGCTGTATGTGTTAGAATGTGCAAGTGGAAAAGGAAGTGGTAGAGTATGTGTCTCTTGCACCTATGTGGGGTAAGTGTGTGACTTCCAGATACTTAAGAAAGGGAGGGAAAATGTCAATGGCTTTTTGTCTGGGATAAGTGTTTTTTAGAAGGCTGCTGTAATATCAGCTTTCACTTATTAATTTTTTAAATGAAATTCACTTTATTAGGCCTATATTGACTTGTAATACTTTGTACTTGGCAGATTTGGAAGACCTTTTAAAAGGCTCGGAACAATCTAGCACAACTGTGAAAAATTACATGAAGTTTTCTGTTTGGGTTTCATTTTGTGAGATTTACAATGATTGTTTCTATGATCTACTGCTTCCGATATCAAATGACAAGAAAAGAAAACCACTACACCTTGCTCAAGACATCAAGGGATGTTCTT